GACCCCAGAGATCACCACAGGGTTTTACAGAAAGGGACACTGAGGGGGAAAGCCGCTCATCCACAGTCCTGCCATCAGCCGACTGACATACCTGGACCCCTGGCGTGCGCTGGAAACCTGCTCCAAGGCAGAGTCTTCCTCCCATCTGTCTCACAGGCAACACTGCTCCAGGGTTGCATTATAACATTAGCATGGGCATCTGGGCACTTTTTCTTTTCTTGTTGGTTAAGAGTGAATTGTGGCTCATATCACCTCTTCCCTCTCACTGGGCATTCACTGCCCAAGTTCCAAGGATCTAACATTGGGCAAGTTCAACTTAGTCCTTCTGTGTGGACTGAACACATCACACATCTCCATCAGACTATCATACTGTTGAAGGGTTTATTTGTACTCATCCACTTAGGGTAGATAAAAATTTCAAGATTTGGCTAAAACTCCATTTGTTGAAAACTAATATTTCACCTAAGAAGTTAAGAGTGCAGGCTCTGAAGACAAACTTAGATTCAAGCCCCAGTTCCGCCATTCACACCAGTCCCCTAATTGTGCTGTTTCCTTTTGATATAAGGCAGTCAGCAGCACATGCCCAGCACGCAGTAAGTGCTCAGTAAGTGTTGGTATTATGAAGTTCAAATTGCACCCATAGTGAACTAGGTATAGATTTTGGCAATGTTTGGGCACCCTCACAGTTGAGTGGATGCTGCGGTGAATGTTTTAGGTCAAGAGGCCTTTGGGAACAATTATGAGGAGGGCAGAGGAGTGGAGTTCCTGTGGCACTCAGACATCAATGTTAAAGGAGCCCATTTTATAATGCAGCAACTTCAGGTTCTCAGAGAAGTGAATCAGGGAGGGTGGGGTAAGGATGACAGCTGCCCTCGCACTAGCACACATGCTGACCCAGGGGGATGCTCCCCTCCCCCACTCTGTGGTTTAGATCCTTAAGATGGCAGAAAAAGAGCATCCTTTGACATAAGGACATTAACCTCAATCAACCCTTTGGTTCCATCTCTATACATTCATCACCAAAGAGAACCCACTCGTCTATCTAAAGGTCTGCTGTTTACATAGGTAAACAATGAAAAGGCTTTCCATATGCTGCAAGGGGTCTTCAAAAAGTTCACGGAAGGATTCATACTATCTTTTAATCCAATTTTTCCACAAAATTTTTTTTTTTTTGTCTTTTTCGTGACCGGTAAGGGGATCGCAACCCTTGGTGTGGGGTCGCTCGCACCCGGCCATTCCTATATAGGATCCGAACCCGCGGCGGGAGCATCGCTGAGCTCCCAGCGCTGCACTCTCCCGAGTGCGCCACAGGGTCGGCTCTCCACAAATTTCTTGAAGTACCCTCATATATGCTTGCTGTGGTTTCTATGTCCCCCCAAGCTCATGTTGAACCTTAATCCCCAAAACGGTGGTGGAAGTGGGGCTTTTAAGAGGTGATTGGATTGCGAGGTCTGTACCCTCATGAACGGACTGAACCATTCATGGAGTAATGGGTTGACGGCTGAATGGGCTGTCATGGGCTTTGTTCTGATGGTTTTATAAATGAGGTTAGCTCTCTTGCTCTTGTGATCCTTGCCATGTGATACCTGCATTTCCACAGGACTTTGCACCAAGGAGGAAGCCGTACCAGATGTGTTCTCTGGACCTTGGACTTTGCAGCCTCCAAAAGTGTAAAAAACAAATTTCACTCTGTTTTAAATTACACAATTTCAGGTATTCTGTTATAAGCAACAGAAATGGATTAATACAATGCTCATCTGAATGAAGATGCCAGTAAAGAACTTCTACTGCAAGTTTGTTTGCTGCATTCAAATTATACAGTATAAGGGATAAAGAGTACATGTAAAAACCACCAGCATCAGCAGGATCAGATCAAGATGGCGGAATAGATGGTCCGCAGCATCACTCTCTCCCACAAATCAACCAAATTTACAACTATACAAATGTAACATCAGCCAAGCTGGGGCCGCTGGAGCTCAGGGAAAGAGGAGGAGAGATGTACGGAATTCATGAAGGCGGGAAAAACTACAATGAGAGAAAGAAAAAGCTACTCTGAGCATTTTGGGCCACAGTTGCTTTAAGGCTCAAGCTGCTGAGCACATGGAGCAGGAGCCGGCAGAAGCCACAGCTGTGCCCTTCAGATGGAGTTACTTGGAGACAGCAGGGGAGAAGAGGGCCTTGGCGGACTACAGGACAGCAAGACCACTAATAGGGTTCCCACGGACCCACGCAGGAGCGAGGAGCCAGAACAACTGAAAAAAGGGAGCCATTCAGAGGCAAGGGACCAGCACAAAGCCTGTCCCATGGGAAGTGTTTGGAGCACGAGCGGTGGGAGAGATGGGCCCACCAGAGGAACACAGGGACACAGCAAAGACAGCTGATCTGCCCCCCAATCAGCACAGGACCACTCAGAGGAGACTAGTCAGGAATGAAAAATTGCAAAGGGTGCAGTTTGATGAAATAACTCAAGCCCAGATCAGAGATTCTATAGAACACAGACCCACCAGGTCTCTGGAGAGCCAGAAGTATCTATAAGGTCAACCATTAAACCCTGAGCTGCACAAAAAGCCTTCCCTAGGGAAACAGCAGCAAAGTAGCAATTTAAACAACCACACGGCTCAAGTACTGGTTCCCATGGGAAGTTCCCCTGTGTTAGAAGCAAAGAACAAAAAATTAGTTCCGGCCCAGGCACACCACCAGCACCTTGGGGCCTGCCTGGGAACTGGAGGCTTGGATCTGGGGACCGGACCCCACTCCCACTTCCAGGCAAACTGCGCCCATGCCACAGGTCCAGCCCGGGGACCCAAGGCATGCAGAAGGGGACTGGACCCTCCTCCAACCACCAGGCACACTACACCAGCACCTTGGGGCCTTCCCGGGGAACTGATTCAAGGAGAAGGGGACTGGACCTCTCTCACACAACCAGGCACACTGAGCTAGTGCCTTGGGCCCACCCAAGGACCCAGAATATGGAGTCAGTGACCGGACCACCCTCCTACAACCAGGCACAACAAGCCAGCACCTCGGAGCCCACTCAGGGACCCAGGGCATGGAGAAGGGGAACGGTCCTCTCTCCCACAACCAGGCACTCCAAGCTAGTGCCTCAGGTCCCGCCCAATGACCTGAGGTATGGAGCCAGGGACTGGACCCTCCTCCCACACCAGGCACACCACGCCAGCACCTTGGGGCCCGCCTGGGGTCCTGAGGCATGGAGAAGGGGACCAAACACACCCCACAACCAGGCATACTGCCAGTGCCAAGGAGCATACCAAAAACAGCACCTCCACATGGGTGGCCCACCACAGCCACCACAATAACCATGGCTGCCGCAAAAGTGGCTGGATGCCACAACCACCACGCAGATGGTTCGCCAACCACTGGAGTTCATTCACACAAGAATCACCAGCAGACACAAAGAAGAGGATGTCTCTTTCCACAAAACCCATTTCAGAGTGACAGAAGAAACATCTGCTCTATGATAATATTGGGGGACCTGATCACATCTCTCAGCATTGGACAGATCACCTAGGTGACAAATTAACAGAGTAACCATTATTCTTTCAGGAGAGAAGAAATCTAGGGTAATTAGAAGGCGGAGGGGGAGGGAATGGGGGAAGGGGAGAGATTGGACAAGGGGCATAAAGAATTACGACTTGTAACAATATATGTTAGTAATATTGATTTAATCAACATATCTCCATGTTCAACCCCCAAAATATGTATAATCGATTTTGATTCAATAAACTTAAAAAACCCACCAGCATCAAACAAAGCACCAGCATCACACATTGCCTAAAGCCTAAATTCACATTACATTACAAAAACAAATTATGAAAAAGATATAGAGAACAATGGCATATTTTTTTTTTTGCTTAAAGGAAGTCACAACGATCATTAATATTTATTCCCCTGTGAAGTTCATTGTTCTATTTTTGTATCTTTTTTTTTGTGTGTGAAGTTCATTGTTCTAATTTCCATTATGCAAAGAGGAAGTCATATCCTTGAGGACACCCAAAACAATGCTATTATGCTGTGGCATTAGCAGCATCCTCGGTACTTGGACAAAAAGCCAAGCAGCTCGTTCAATGTACAAAGTTGTTGATCTATAAACACTATAACAATAGGATCATTTCACCATTATCAGGTCTCCTGGGAGGGTCCCCACATGCCATAACCAGTGGGTCATGAGGTCAATATAGTCACAGCTGAGCAGGGTATGAGCACTTCTTAGTATGACAGAAGTTTCCAGCATCAAAACCTTTCTGCAGTTCACACAAAGCTTAGATGAACTAGGTGTCATTTTCCAGAAGAAATCACAAGTTCAATAGTTTCATCCCCTTCTAGATTGCTATTTTTCAGTTTTGCTTCAACTCTTAAACTCCAAAAAGCAAAAGAAGGGAAAATGACCCTCATGTCTATGATTTGAGATTCTAACCTGTCATTCATTCAGATGAAACCTACTGGGTGCCAAGATTTGCACCCCTCCCTGTCTTTGAGAGTTGACCTCAAAGCTGTAGTAAGAATACATAGGGAGCTGTAGAACATGCCTTTGCCAACTTTAAATTTTCCTTTTTCAAATGGTAGATTCAGATCTGACTATACAATTGCACAATTATAAGCAGTTTCTTTTTCTTCCTCAGTGTTATAAGCCCTTCATTTAGAGTGGTGTAGGTATAAAATATAAATTGCAAAAAGGTAAATTATTCTATTTTCATTAGAAATTAACTTTAGGAGCTGGTCAGTTAGCTCAGTTGGTTAGAGGGCAGCCTTATAACGCCTAGGTCATGGGTTTGGATCCTCAAACTGGCCAGCCGCCAAAAAAAAAAAGAAAGAAAAAGAAAAAAGAAATTAACTTTAGTCCTATTTCTATCATAGAATGATTTTCATGAACCATAAAACTATTCTATAAAAAGTTATTTCTGGTCTTTTTGCTTTACCAATGTGTGGTGGCGAATTTCCACAAACTTTTAATCAGTAGCAAACCATATAAAAAGCTTGTGTTTTTAACATAAAGCTATGACTTTAATTATTATTTGAGAGTTCTACTTTGGCTAAACTTCATACAAAAAAAACAAGAAGAGAAAAAGTGTTAAAAAACAGACTCCTTTCCTGCTTAAATTCACTAATGGTAGATTCACAGTGGGCTGGGAAAGAAATGGAAGAGCTCTTCAGAAACTCCAGAGTTCTAGACTGAGATGACGAAATTTTCTTCCACAAGACATTCATCACTACCCAAAATTCTGGGCTGGAGGAACTGCTGGGCCAACCCGTGTGGCATTTCTCATGTTCTTAGGGTCTCCATTCACCTTTTGATTAAGCTACCAAGAAAGGCTTATACTTTTTTACCTTACCCTTTCATAATCCTTGAATGAGACCCCTCACTCTCTGTGCTTCTCTTTTTAAGGTAGCATGACGTAAGTCTCTGAAGCTGTTCCTGTAGATAAAAAGATGTCAAATGGCCAGGACTCAACATGATCCTCAACAAGGCTGTGCTAAAAGAATGTAGAGCACGTGTAAGGTAGCGGCTCTCTACCTCCATGGGCATCAGAAATACCTGTACACCTTTCTAAACATTTGAGGGCTTGGACCCTACTCTCTACTTCCAAAGGTGGAGCTCCAGGCAGGTGTGTCTTGGTGAAGCTTAATCAGCCATTCTGACATGTGCCAGAGAGAACTAACTTGGCATAATATTTCTGCCAGACATATTCACAACCTTTATTTTGCATACCTGGAGATGACTGATCAGTGGTGCATTGTACAAGATCATTATTTTAAGAATTCCTTCCTTTGTCCATCCTGGGTGAAGACTGCCCAGCAACAAGCATGCAAAAATGTCAGTTCCCGGGTGGCCCGGTGGCGCACTCGGTAGAGCGCGGCGCTTGGGAGCGTGGCGGCGCTCCCGCCAAGGGTTCAGATCCCATATAGAGACCGGTTCCCGCTCACTGGTTGAGCGCGGTGCGGGCGCGACACCGAGGGTTGCGATCCTTTTACCGGTCACGAAAAAAAAAAAAAAAAGGAAAAAAAAAAAAAAAAAAAAAGAAAAAAAAAAAAAAAAAGAGGGGGGGCGGGCGGGGGGGGGGGGGGGGGAGGGCGGCGCTTGGGAAGCGCGGCGGCGCTCCCGTCCGAGGGTTCGGATCCCATGTACAGACCGGTTCCCGCTCACTGGTTGAGCGCGGTGCGGGCGCGACACCGAGGGTTGCGATCCTTTTACCGGTCACGAAAAAAAAAAAAAAAAGGAAAAAAAAAAAAAAAAAAAAAGAAAAAAAAAAAAAAAAAGAGGGGGGGCGGGCGGGGGGGGGGGGGGGGGAGGGCGGCGCTTGGGAAGCGCGGCGGCGCTCCCGTCCGAGGGTTCGGATCCCATGTACAGACCGGTTCCCGCTCACTGGTTGAGCGCGGTGCGGGCGCGACACCGAGGGTTGCGATCCTTTTACCGGTCACGAAAAAAAAAAAAAAAAGGAAAAAAAAAAAAAAAAAAAAAGAAAAAAAAAAAAAAAAAAAAAAAAAAAAAAAAATGTCAGTTCCCTTCATAATTAAAGTCAGAGTTATTTGTTTATTTTTAAAGTACATTTTAATATACATATTAAAGTTAGGATTTTAAATGGACTCTTGCTCTTTACACTTCACCTCTCTTATGTGGTAGAGTCAAGATGTCCTTTTTGACTTCCTACTTGCAGTTAGTTTCATTGAAAATTCTGGTTTTAATGTGCTGCTAATCTCTTGTTTTAAAGATATAGGGATCTTCACATTCTTAAAAAAAAAAAAAAAGACCATACTAAAAACATTCATCTTAACAATTTCTGATAAAAAGGAAAAAACAAACCTGATTTTAATTTACTACTGATTTTTACCAAACTGTCAAGCTTTAGTTTATGAAACAAGATCACAATTCCTTTCGCCAGTGACTAACACCCAGATTGTTTCAAATCCCCAAAAGGGAAGTCCAAAATATGCTATAGAATGTCTATGACTTAGCTGCTGCAGTATTTCTCTGCAAAGGAGCCAGGATAACCCCAACATTCCTGTTTTCACTCTCAGAGCTGTACAAATTATGCGTTTCAATATATTCTTGGACAAGATCTGGTACTAAGTAGCGAATGCTCTGGCCCCTTTGGAGGGCTCTCCGGATCTTCGTGGATGAGATGTCGTTAGTGATCCATTCGTCCACCAGGTGAATGTTGCTCCGGTGTTTCCACAGCACATCAGACTCATAGATGAATTTCTGAGCATCATTTCCAGCCCGAGTAATACATATGATCCCGTGGTCTGCCACAATCTGGTTAATATCCTCACTCTTCCACAGATTGGGAACACCGAAAGACTCCAACAAATCTGACCCGCACAGCAACTTTACCTTTGGCACACCTAAGAAGAACAGATCAGAGCTTACAGGTTTGCTTTCCTAATAACCCCCTGCATCAAAATGAATGTGTGTATGTGTATTTTGGGAAAGAAGGTTCTGCATTTTCATCAGATTCAGACTCCCAAAACAGATCCAGTACACCTCAAAAGTTAAAGGCCCTGCAGGAGAAATAAGCTCAGGGAGCCTTTTATTCTCCCTTTTTTCCTTCATAAATCTAACAAGGAGCACTTTCCAGGCACTCACATATATGGAATATGAAATGAAAATACAAAGAGGGGCTGCTCAGCTCCAGAATCTTAACAGTAGTCTGTGAGTTCTGGTAAAATACACAAACCTTTTGTTTTTGGCTCTGTGGATTTTTTTTTACTAGAATCTTGCCTTTGTTCAGTCCACTTCCTCTTCCGTACAGGCCTTTCTAGCACAGGTGAGTTCTGCAGGTGATCACAGTTACTAGCCTCCAGTTTCTCTTGATGGTGTCTATAAAATGACAAAACAATAGAATGTTCCTCTTTCTCACAATGCTCTACTAAGCTGTCATCACTCCAGAGATGCCTAAGAGTCTCTGACCCAGCGTTGAGGGGAGGTGATATCCAAAACGTATAACCACAGGTACACATGATGCCCAACAAGTCTGAACGAATGGTGGCTATCTATCTATCACTGTTCTAAATTTTATGTGTCTTGTGTCACAATAATAAGAGTTAACATTATTATATGCTGCAAACTACACTAAATCCTTTACATGGGTCATCTGATTAAATCTTCTCAGCATCCCATATCATACATATGCTTATCCCCATAATGGAGGGGAAGTGGAGTCTTAGAAATTGCAACTCCAGCTACTAGCAGAGTCCCTGGAACATAGGAGGCATTTGGTAATAGTTTGACTGAGTGAATGTTTTAATTATTACAAAGCAACTATATTATTGCCACCTTTATATCAGAACTGTTTATTACCCATTGAGAGAGGAGGACACTACCTAATTTGCCCAAGGTCATTTGGCTTGTAAGTAGCAGAACCAGGATAGAACTCCAGAAGTTTGGTCCAGAGCCCACACTCTTGACCACTGAAGAGTGTGGCTTGAACTAGTGAAGAACCACAATACCAAGAATAAGGTCCTAGAGGGGCAAGTACCTGAGGTCTAAAAGGATGGGACCACAAGCAGGATTTGTAAACAGCTTTATTCTGGGCTGGCAGCTGGATGCCCACCGCTTTACAACTGCAAAGTTACCCAAGTAACATAAACTACACTTGTGGAATCCAATTGTGGATCCTCTGTGTCCCTAAACTCCTTCCCTCCTGAATAGCTGAGTTGAATATGTAATGGACAATAAGCTTACTATGGAGCCAGAGAGGGCTGGGCAGGGCAGTGGCCCAGAAGCCTGGTCTCTGATGGGAGAATTTTCTGCCAGCAAGCAGGGGAGATTCTTCTCCCTGCCAGGCCTGAAAAGTAAATCCTCTTTATAAGTCACTGTGCTAGATACTGTCTACTGGCTCAGTACCCAATCCTACCCTAAACACATTTCCCAGAGATCCTCGTGGCAGGTTCTAGATGTGATTGAGATTTTGCTGATGAGATTCTCGTGAGAGATTTGGAAGGCAGAACAGAGGCAAAAACCATCACTCTGCAGCTACAGAGCCTGACAGTCTTTTATAGTGTGAGTGCAGGGGCCAGACTCCATATTCCACTGTCCAATCACCAATTTCAGGAGTCTGAGAAAGTTTAACAGCAGCAGAGGTGGTAGCAGAAGCAGAATCGGTTTCCTGAACTGATTGCAGTTATGGAGATACAACCTTGAAACATACCCCAACTTCCACTCTCCCTGCTCTTTTCACGCTTTTGCCGAGGCACCTAAATACCTTGCCACTTAAAATACCTAGAGTGGGTTTTACTTCATACTCTGAACCCTAATTTTGACAGTAACTGGAAGGTTCACAACTCTAAAAACAGACATTAGGGGCCGGCCCGGTGGAGCACTGCTACAGTGCGCCGCTTGGGAGTGCGGCGGCGCTCCCGCCGAGGGGTCGGATCCCACATACAGACCAGCGGCTCACTGGCTGAGCGAGGTGCAGGCGCAGCACTGAGGGTTGCGATCCCGTTGCCGGTCCCGGTCCGGTACGGGCGCGACACTGAGGGTTGCGATCCGTTGCCAGTCACGAAAAAAGACAAAAAGGAAAAAAGTAAAAAATAAAAAATAAATAAAAACAGACATTAGAAAGGTTTTTCAGAAAGCCCTTTTATCTCACACTCAAGATAATATTAAGAAATAATCTGATGTTATTTACTCTGGTTTCTGAACCCTTGACTGGAACTGTTTCAAAAGTATGAGCACAGGGCCGGCCCGGTGGCGCACTGGAGAGTGCTCCGCTTGGGAGTGCGGCGGCGCTCCCGCCGAGGGTTCGGATCCCATGTGGAGACCGGTTCCCGCTCACTGGCTGAGCGAGGTGCGGGCACAACACCGAGGGTTGCGATCCCGTTACCGGTCAGTTAAAAAAAAAAAGTATGAGCACAAAGATTTGGGAAACCCCTACATGCTGTTGTGGAAGCAGCACACAAAATCAGGCCTGTCCATGATCAAGCATCACTTGATGATTCTCTTCTTTGAATTACCTGCCTCTCTTTTATACCTAGAAGACTGATGACAATAACATCCTCTTACAACCTTGCCTTTCTTATTTGGGGCACAGAGAGGCCAAGTAGGCTTCCTCTATTTTCTAGCAGATATATCGCATAGTGTGAAGCATGCAAACAACTCAAAACTTAATGAAAGACATAAAGGCTAAGGCATACATACCATCTGTTGCTGTACTCAACAGCCTTGTAATCTTCCACAAGAATGGCATAGCCTACGCCTTTCCGACTCTAGTGACAGTGTTGCAAATCTATATGTTCGCAGATCTAGGCAGCATTGAAACATGGCAAAAAGACAAAAACACTTCCCACCCATTTCCACAGAACTGACAAAGTTGATGTCACCATAAATACCTTAGCACCTTAGCAGTCTCTGTCCACTCCTTCTGAAGACTTTCCCATGTATCAACTTCCACCCATTTTGAATTCTTGGTGGCAAGTTCTGCCATGATAATTCGATGATGGGCAGGGATGAGTCCTTTCTTCTTATATGCATCACCAACAGGAGAAATTATGCCTTTGATAACTCTATATTTTCCTGGATAAAGAGTTAGATTTAAGGGCCGGCCTGTGGCTCACTTGGGAGACTGTGGTGCTGAAAACACCAAGGCCATGGGTTTGGATCCCTATATAGGGATGGCCGGTTAGCTCTCATGGGAGAGCGTGGTGCTGACGCCACCACATCAAGGGTTAAGATCCCCTTATCGGTCATCTTTTACTTAAAAAAAAAAAAAAAGTTAGATTTACTCCAATGTTTTAAGGGGGGGGTGAATAAACCACCCATATATCCTTAGTATGAAGACTAAAGGACAAACCTAATAAGACAACAACAAATACAAGGACAGTATAAGAGACAGGCAATATTAAAAGATGTAACTTGAAACAACAAAATGTCAAAAAGTGGAGGGAATGACGTCAAAGCATAGAATTGGCTTTGGTTCTTTTTTCTTAGATATCAAAGTTAAGTTGTTATTAGTTTAAAATAATCTGTTATAACTATAACATGTTTTTTGTAAGTCTCATGGTAACCATAACACAAAAACTTATTTATTTATTTTATTTTATTTTATTTTTTCCTTTTTGTCTTTTTTACTGACCGGTAACGGGATTGCAACCCTCAGTGTTGCGCCCGTACCGGGGACCGGCAATGGGATCGCAACCCTCGGTGTTGCACCCGCACCGCGCTCAGCCAGTGAGCGGGAACCGGTTTCCACATGGAATCCGAACCCTCGGCGGGAGCGCCGCTGCACTCCCAAGCGGCGCACTCTCCAGTGCGCCACCGGGCCGGCCCTATTTATTTATTTTTTAAAAGATGACCGGTAAGGGGATCTTAACTCTTGACTTGGTGTTGTCAGCACCACGCTCTCCCAAGTGAGCTAACTGGCCATCCCTATATAAGGATCCGAACCCTTGGCCTTGTTATCAGCACCATACTCTTCCAAATGAGCGATGGGCCGGCCCTAACACAAAAACTTATAAGAAACATACTAAAAATAAATAATGAGAAATCAAAATAAGTCAGGCACAGACAAATACTGCATGGTCTCTCAAAGAAGTAGAGAATAGAATATGGTTACCAGAGGCTGGGAGGGGAGGGAGGTGGGGGGAGCAGAAGGGGTAGACTATTGGGTACAAAATTATGCTACCTACCCTAAATGAATTGTTGTGCAGTATATATATCTATTGAAACAACACACTGTACTCCACAAAAATAAATATCAATAAAATTGGAAATTAAAAAAAAAATTAGATTTTATATTAGGCATAAAAACTTAGATTTTATGCATAGGAAATAATTATAATAATATTGTTTTGTAATCACAGATTCCTTTTCTTTTTTTTTTTCTTTTCCTTTTTGTCTTTTTTCGTGACCGGCAACGGGATCGCAACCCTTGGCGTTGCCCCCGCACCTCGCTCAGCCAGTGAGCGGGAACAGGTCTGTATGTGGGATCCGAACCCTCAGCGGGAGCGCCGCCGCGCTTCCCAAGCGGCACACTGTAGCAGTGCGCCACCGGGCCGGCCCCCTTTTCTTTTTAAACAGGGATTCAGCCTTATTGATTGATTGGTTGATTTAAATTATGATAAACTAGGGCCGAGCCCATGGCGCACTCGGGAGAGTGCAGCGCTGGGAGTGCAGCAGCACTCCTGCCGCGGGTTCGGATCCTATATAGGGATGATCGGTGCGGTCACAGCGCTCACTGGCTGAGCGCAGTGCGGCCGGTCTCAAAAAAAAAGGGACAAAATAAATAAATAAATAAATAAATAATGATAAACTATACATAAAATTTACCATTTTAACCATTTTAATTAATTATTTTAAAAAGATGACCAGTAAGGGGATCTTAACCCTTGACTTGGTGTTGTCAGCACCACACTCTCCCAAGTGAGCCATGGTCCAGCTCTGGCATTTTAAGTGTACAACTGAGTGATATTAAGCACACGCACACTGTTGTGCAACCATCACCACCATCCATCTTCAGAAAGTTTTCACCTTCCCCAACTAAAACCCTGTACCCATTAAACGCTAACTCCCCATTCTCTTCACAGTTTAAATTTTGATTGATACTGCCAAATTACCTTGTAAAAAGCTTTAATCAATTTGTATTGTCCATCTGGCGTGTACGTAAGAGCCCATTTCTCCCTAACCTCTGATACTTGACATTATCAAGAAATTTCTGTTGGGCCGGGCCGGCCCGGTGGCGCACTGCTACAGTGCGCCGCTTGGGAAGCACGGCAGCGCTCCCGCCGAGGGTTCGGATCCCACATACGGACCGGCCGCTCACTGGCTGAGCGAGGTGCGGGGGCAACACCGAGGGTTGCGATCCTGTTGCCGGTCCCGGTCTGGTACGGGCGCGACACTGAGGGTTGCGATCCGTTGCCGGTCACGGTCCGGTACGGGCGTGACACTGAGGGTTGCGATCCGTTGCCGGACACG